TATATATATATATATATATATATATATATATATATATATATATATTAATACACTTACTAACACGTCAAGATTATTTATTGGACAATAAATATTCAATTCTTTCAATATCTATTACGAAATATATATACTCGAAAACGCAATCCTTTTAATGTTTTGAGCAAATAATTCCCCACATGCTACTCTCTAAGTGTATCGCATTGTCTCCAAAAAATTCTATAAAAACCCGCCACCTTTTTCTTTTCTTCAAATGAATATTAAATGTTTATAATCGTTTCTTTTGTGACTCACCAACTCAGGATCGGCCATATTCTGCATGATAATCTGAAACAAAAAAAAAAGAATAAAGTTGTGTCCGTCGCATTCGGAAATTCGGCTAAACAAATGATGCACAAGTGTATTAACTCTTATCAGTTTAACTCATAATGACTTTTACATCCAAATTTTTATTAGGATAGAGATAGAAAAAATATAATATTTTTGAGTTTACCTTCAAGCCGATTTTATTCTGCCCGAACCGGATCCTCCGGTGCCACCATCCGCTGAAATACTTTGAATACCTCAGCTGCTTTCGCGATATAATTCGTCAGATCTGAAACAGAAAGTAATTTTCCGGATTAATTATAATAATTGTAATTACTTGGCATAAATTGAAAATATGGTGGCATACACTGAAAGAAAGAAATTTAAGAAATAAGAAAATATTTATTTGGTGAGTACTATAATATATATTTACTTTCATTAATATAATATAAAATATTTTTCATATAATATACAAAATCTTAGCTTTCTCAAAATCTTAGCTTTCTATAAAAGCAATTGTTTATCCTATTCACATAAAAGCATTTAGATTTAAGCAACTATAGTATTAATAACCGAATAAATACTTATTTATCTTTTAGATATTTGTTTGTCAGTACAAAAAAGAAACTCAAAATAAAGATTTAATAAGGATAAAGCCGAGTGAATTTTCATATCGAATTGGATTTTAGATTATTTTTTAGAATGTTAAATATTTAAATTCAAAATCTACTTTTATACACTGACAAAAAGTTTAAGAAATAAAAGACGTTTGATGGATACTAATACCATATATTTGTTTATAGAAATATATAAAGTTATATATGTTTATATATAAAGTTTATATATAAAGAAATATATAAAGTTAATATGTTTTAAAAATTAAAAACAAATTTTAAGTAAGAAAATATTTGTTCTATTTAAATAAAATAATTTATATTTAATTTAATATGTTAATAGTACCCACTGAATAAATATTATTCTCATTTTTTAGATATTTTCTCTCTCAGTGCAGCAAACTAACGAAATCACAAGATTTTTAGCTTTGTCTCTCTTCGAAATCTAATAAAAAGTGCGTTAATATTACCCTACAATCTTGAGTGACGTTGTTACCTTTTACAATGATTTCGTCGCGATTAACGCGCTCGCGACGTACACCTCACGACCGCTCGAGCCGAACTAGAAGGAATGAGGGGATAACGGCCCATTACGTACAAAAACTGTTTTGATCTCGGTTGCGTCGTTTGCTTCCGCGTGTTGTTATTGTGGAAGTCACGTGACCTCAACGTGCGATCCAGTGATATGTACCCCTCGGCGTAACATTACGAGGAAGAGATTCTTGAAAAATTATATATATATATATATATATATATATTA